ATCTAAATTCGCTAAAACATCGTTATAAATATTTAGAGTTATTTATTTATTGAAAAGATTTTTTTTGAATAATTTTGCTTTCTAAATAAATTTTTTCTATAAACTATAAAAAAAAAAAATAAAAAAACAACTTCAAGTTGTATTTAATATAAAATAATTACAAATATACTTGCAAAAATTCTCAACTTACTTAATGTAAAAACTGTTTGAAAAGTTGATAGGAGAGTTGATATGGAGTTTAATAGGAAGTTTACAAAAGAAAAAAATTTTTTTAACGCTACTTTTTGTTGAAGTAATTTCTTAATATCTGTCATATGATCATGTAATACAAGTGTGATCATTTTTGCAAAACTTAATTTACCTAATTTTTATTAAATTATTGTCAAATTCCTTAATTTAGACGAATTTTATTAATTCTGCAGATCGGAGGATATGATACATTCAAATTTTTGTGACGTGGTCATAATTCTTTAAGATGATTTTAAAATCTATTCTTAGATCCATTTGTACATTATATAAATAAGAGTCTTGATTAATGAAATTTTTGCTTCTGAAATCATTTCTTCTTGGGAAAGTTCTCTTTAGAAATAATGTAAAATAATATAACACTGATATTACTAATAAAATTTTCCCATATGCATCAGAAAATAAAAAGATAACATATCATTTATGTTATAAGTAGAGTTTGGAACCGATTCTATTTTTGAAAACTGAATTTAAAATGGGCGCAACCAATTCAATCCGTTTCAAACTGATTTTGCAAAACCTGATTGAAACCGAATAACCGATTCATATATATTTAATAATTCTGACCAGAATTAAATGTGATTGGCATAAATCCGGCCAAGTTATAAATCTGGCTGGAATTACATCCCTTGTGTAATACAGTTCAAAATTTTGTAGAACACAAATATCTATAATAAAATTTTGTGTAACATAACTTACCTGGTGGCTAAACTATTTAGCCGTAGTCACGTGATTTAAATTTCGTAATTCGGGCCAGCACTATAAAGTTTCAAATACTGTATTTTATAAATTTTATAATTATTTCTTATTATAGTATTTTATATTACGTCAATTTTAAACTTATAATCAACTTAGGAAAAATATTTGAACAATTAAATATATTAGAAATCTGTTCATTTCATTTATTA